ATGTAATCAGAATTGCCTGTGATGCTAAGATACATAGATGTCTCATCAGAATGCCAAAAGTCTTGGCATTATGTGATTATAGAGAAGATAAGGTTCTGCTGTCTGCAGTGTCGAGTAACGTGACATGAGAGCAGCACCCTTCTCAGTTGTAATGTTGCTGCACGGCTGTTATTTTGGGGTCTAGCTAACGGATATATTGCCTCTGATTTTGAGGCAATTGAAGACAACAGTATTCTTTTCAGGGTAGGATGCAAAAAAAAGTGTCACTTGGACAGCTGTGACTTCTAAATAAGCTGTCTCAGGAACTTTGGTCAGAAACAAGTAGATGGGGAGAAAGAACAGGCTCCTTGCCACCTTTAGATGTGTTTTATCTGCCTTGGGGTTTTGTTTGCAATCAGCTTGAAGAACTGAAACAAAAGCAGAAGCTCAACAGACAGAAAGAACATGAAAAGAAGAGGAAGCTTGAAGCTAAAAAGAATGCAGCAAAACTCAAGGAAAAAGCAGAGGGAAAGGTAGGTGTCTGGTATGATTTCAATTCTTTGAAGCTTGCAGAAGCAATAAAAGTCATCATGAAACTGCATCTTTTTAAGCAGTATGTTACATGTTGCATTTTTTGCTGTATATGCACGCAAGTATATTACACTAATTCTCAAATCGCTCCCTTTCATTTTGATTTGCATTCAGGAATCCTCTCGCAAATCTAAAGCAAAGACTAACAAACCACTGGATAAAAATTCAAAGAAATCATTTTGCAGGGAGCTCAAGAAGGTGAGATGTTTTAACTACTTTTACACATATTGATGAGAGTCAGCAATGAGACCGCTTGTTACTTTCCTTTTTTGCATTACTGCGTAGCTGCTAGAGAGTATAAAGGTTGCTTGTGATAAAATTCAACACCAAAGTAGGGGATTTGATGACAGAAGTTAAGTGAGGGTTTCGCTCTTGCCTGGTGTGAGCTACTGAGACATTCCGCACTCTGAGACGTTAGACTTCTCAGGCCAATGTCAGTACATACTGAGTGATCAGAGAGCTCTGTAGTAATGAGGTACTGGTGTCAAAGAATTTCTTGCCTTTTGAAGAAAAAGATGAAAATTGCTTCAGCTTTCTGGTTTGTAGTTCAGAAGAAAAGAGCTCAAACGAGAAGTCTTATGAAACCTGACCAATCATTCAGTGAAATTCAAAAGTGACTGTTAGAAGCCGCAGCTATTCCAGAGTCGTCATCTGTCAAATGGTCTGTCACATCTGATTTGAGAGTCTTCTCTCTTTTTTTTCCTGACCTAGGTGATTGAGGCCTCAGATGTGGTTCTAGAGGTTTTAGATGCAAGAGATCCAATGGGCTGCCGGTGCCCTCAACTGGAGCAAGCTGTAATTTGCTCTGGAGGAGACAAAAAGCTACTGTTGGTTCTGAACAAAATTGGTGAGAAGCACAGGGTTTTCTTGAAGTGTTACTTGGTGACTGCGTGGTTCTGTGGTAGGTGAGCTATGAAGATGATTTTAAAGGAATCTGAGATTCTGTTGAAGACATAAGATCCAACTCTGAGCTCGCTGCCCGACTGAAGCGGTCACATTTCCTCCACCTTTTAGTCTATTTTGCCGAGAAAACACCACAGACATGTAAATGCACAATAGCCCTTTTCTTTTGCAATAACTTCTGTGGGCATTGGCCAGTTTCAGCCAAATTTGACAAGCGTTAAATATCTTACAATTGTTAATGTTTTTGTGAACGTAGGTGAGCAAGCAGAGGTCGCGATGCTGTTCCCTACTGAGGCAATAGTTGCGTTAAAGATCAGCAAATCAATGTAGCAGTTGTATTTGAAATCTGGCTTTGGGAAGTATTTTCTCTCTTCCGTTGCTGTATGAAAGAATCCATGTAAAAGCAGGTGAAATCAGCTAAAAAGGCTGGAGAATACTACAGCAGGAAAAAAAAGGAAAGGAAATACCAAGAGTGACAGCAAGAGCAAAAGGAACTTTGTATTAGAGCAGCCTTTGCAGGGATGATGGGATAATCCTTCACAGAACATCCCTCTCTCTGCCATACAAAGTCTCCTAGCAAGACCCCATCATTAAAAACCTGATACAGGGGACAAAAATGTAATCATGGTATGTTCTGCTGGAGGCAGAAAATAAAGAGTAAAACTTGCGCAACACTGGGTGCCTTGGGGGAACATACCCAGTACTTTAACTAGAGTTCTCAGCCAAACATTGTCATAAAGAAACATACGAAATGGACAAAATACAGCCTGGTTCCTGATTCCAAGTTAGATTTCCTCCACACAGTGATATTTAAGATAAACAGGAGTGAAAGCACTGTGCTCTATTTTCCAGATTTAGTGCCAAAGGATAACTTAGAGAAATGGTTGAATTATTTGAAGAAGGAGTTTCCAACGGTTGCCTTTAAATCAGCAATGCTGATGAAGGACAGGACTATGGTAAGAGCACTGCAGGCTGTCTCATCACTTAAGTGGTATGTGGTTTTGCATGAGAAAAAGGAACCCTTGTTCTTTAAAATTCCTTTTCCCCTTGCTTGATTACACTGCTGTGACCGATGGATATGCCTTTGCACTTTGACTAAGCATTGTGGTACTGTGGGGGAATCCTTTGCTGTTGAAATATACATTATTTGTGCCCAGGAAGCTGGACTAGAGTAAAAGCAAGTAGTGGTTTGGTTTTAGGGTTTTTTCCACTCTAAAAAGGACAGTGAGGGAGGAAGATGAGGAATTTTCATCTTCTACATAGGATGGTTGTACCAGTTATATTTGAATTATTTTGTAGGTAAAGTGCTGCAGCCTCTACTACTGCATTCGTTCTGACTGTGGTCATCAATAAAGGTAGCACCTGACATTATTTCATGAAGAATATAAAGGCCTTAGCTCCCTGTGTCCTAGTCTCAACTCTTTGAAGATGCTCGTTTGAGTCGTATGTGTATTAATATATAATGCTTCACATGTCTTAACTCTGATAGCACAGTGAAATAAACCCTCCTGCAAAATGGTACAGAAACTGCCACACAGAGAGCAGGTTTTGAAATCCTTCAAAAAATTGAAGCCTCTTGAGTGAATTTGCAGATTTAAGGACTCTACCATCTGAACACACATTACTATTTTATTGTCACACAACAAATCTGCAACACAGCCTGAACTGAAATTACAAGCCCTATAAGTCACATTCCCTTTTTTCTTAGCAGTTGATGGCTACCTTTTTTACTGTTGCTTAACTGATTAGCCAGTGTCTTATTAAAGTAATTCCTTCTGTTCAGAACAGCACAGTAACATCATCTAACAGAGGATAGGAGTTGGAAACATGACAGTAGATAAATAAATCTAAGCGTACATATTTATCTTCCTAAACAGCTCCTGACCATGGTTGGGTTTTTTCTTTTGCCTTTGACTCCTGTAGCAGGAACAGTTCACAAAAAGACGTGCTCGTGTTGATTTATCAAGAACCACTGAATGTTTTGGAAGCAAATGCCTTTTGAAACTTCTTCAAGAGCTTGGCAAGACTCAAAACAAAGCCATTCAGGTTGGGGTAGTAGGTAAGCATTTGGAGAGACAGGAGTAGTTTCCTTCTTGTCCCGTAAAGCTTTGGTGTCCCGTATTGCAAAGTAGGTAAATCAGATAACATGAGACTTTCTTCTGGCTTTCTAGTCATTGTTCTTACTTTCATCTAAGACTATTGTAGTACTTTACTTGACAGTGATCTGTGTTACACTTAAGTGCATGTAGTGTACATGATCTGGGAAAGACATATTGTGTGAGGCCTTAGCTTAGGGAAATGAGAAGCAGGTTATGTACCATGCCGCTTACACTGCCTTCCTCCTGCTTGATAAGACTTGTGGCATTATGTTCAGTGATGTCTTTCATGTGCCTTTTATCATCAGTGTGAGAAATGAGGATACAGACTTTGTCTTACTTTTGTAATGAAGACTTCAGATCCAACTCTGATCTCACACTGAAGATGTATTTTAGCAAATACACCTGAAAGAAGCAGTTTTGATCAGTGTTACATAGGCTGAATTTTCTTATTTAACTTAGAAGGATTAATGTGGTTTTCTTCAGGTTTCCCTAACGTGGGAAAGAGCAGCATAATCAACAGTCTTAAAGGAGTTCGTGCTTGCAATGTTGGCCTAGCGAGAGGTGTTACCAAGTAAGCAGAATCTGATAAAACCTGCTCATTTTTCTGTTTGTTGTTCTGTTCTGATTACCTGTTGTTTGTTGTTTGTGTAAAATTTCCATCCATTGAGGGCAAAGTAAGCCCCTGTGTGCAGTTTTAAATGCACATTTCGGTTTGCCAGGGTGAAAGATACTGTACACCAGGGATCTGTACACCAGGGAATATGGTGTATAAACTTGCTGGTTTTTTACGTTTAGATTTCTGTCCTATGCAAAGCGTATGGTAAGAAAGCGCTGAAAGTGACTGTGTATGAACTGCGTTCGGTCCAACGCTGAGCTTTGTGTCTTGCATCCCTCACCATTACCAGCCCTTTGCTAGTTGATTTATCTTTATCTACTCACAGTGCATTTCTCTCTGAATAGGTCCATGCAAATTGTGCACATTGATAAACAGACGAAGATGTTAGACAGTCCAAGTATAATTGCAGATCCTTCCAACAACGCCCTAGCTCTGGCCTTGAGAAGCATCATAGACACTGAGGAATCAGTCTCAGTAGGCGTGCTTGAAGGAGTAGATGCCATTCTAAATCACTGCAGTAAGCAGCAGGTGAGCTTTGTCTTTTCCCACATCTCTCACTTCATTTGACTTCTCTGTAGGTTTCTTAGGCCAATAACTTTGCTTCACTTCAGCTAGTTCTGGTAGCTTTTGCACTGCTTTCCCCTAACCATAGAGTGGCAAATGCTGGCTATTGTATCCAACATTAAGTGTGATCCTTCATCCGTATAAATGGAAGGCAGAAACAGCATGCCAGGATCGTGTCAGCCAGTCTGTTTTCCCAATAACTGTTCTGATTTTTAAAAAAAACTGCTTTTAAGATCTCGTCACAGAGTGAAAAATGAAGACATTTTGACTGTTTCCTATTATTTCAGTGAAGACCTCAGATCCAACTCTGATTTCACTCTAGTTTCAAGTAGACTAACCTAAGCCTAATTCCCATTCAGTGCTGCGGTAATGTTTTTCACAAACCAGTGTATTGTATACACCCACTGGTATGGGTAAATGGCAGATGAATTTGTTGAAGTAGGCATTTTGCTTTGTAATGTTTACTCCCACGTGCAAGAGAAAAACAGCTCTTTGCATACTTGTTTGTCCTCACTGTAACCCAATTTGATTTGCTTTTTTATTCCTAAAACTAAGACAAAAGTGGGTATCTCTTTCTGAATGCACCATTTTCTTTTGCACTAGGTAATGATGCACTATAGTATCCCAGATTTCAGTAACACTGAGGAGTTTTTAAGTTTACTTGCTCAGAAAAGGGGTATGCTGAAAAAGGGAGGTGTTCCTGACGTAGAAAATGTAGCTAAATTACTACTTTGTGACTGGACAGGGTACGTATGCTATGAATTTTGTTTTATGCTGCTCACCTTTTTCACACTGTTAATCCAGCACAGCAGAAGCTCTGAGTCCTGAGAAGTACTTAGAAAGCAGAGGCTGCTTTTTTTTTTTCCTCCTTTCTTCTTTCTCGCATTTTACTTTGGTAGAGAGCTGGATTGGCTAATAGAGTTAGAGAACGCCATCCATGGATAATTATCTAAAGTAGTGAAGGATACATAGAAAGGGTCAGAGCATGTTGCACGTTCCTCCATAGCCAGCTTGCTGATTTCTGCTATAATTCTGTTAGGAGGATTTGCCTTCCTCTCCAATGCTGAGTCCATGTATTCCTCTTCTACAGCCAGGAAAGGATATGGCAAAGTTTCTGTGGAAATTTATAGTGGTTCCTATATTCTGAGGGTGGGAATAAATGTAACTCAGTAATTGAGTATGACTATTTCCCTTGCTCGAGTGGTTCAGCTGCTTTTACAGCTCACGATGTTACAGGCAGATGATTTGTGGTGACAAAGTATGCCATTTCTTTTTCCTCTCCGGAGTGGGATAGCCACTTAATGCTGTTACTGACAACTTCAGAGTCAAATTTAAATAGCTATTTAACTGCTGTTAAGCAGCATGATAATAAATGAGTAGTTAGGTTGAGGAGTTTGAGAGGTTTGTGCTCAGGGTTTTATTTTTAAATACAGTGATTTAACTATGTTATCTTTGGTTGTTTTTTAATACTGATACTTTACTTTCCCAGAGCTAAAATAAGTTACCACTCACAACCACCAGGATCTCAGAGACCACCACCATACCTTACAGAAGACAAAATAGCTGGAATGCAGGAGTGCTTTAATTTAAAGAACTTAGAAGAAGAAAACAACAACACTGTTCAAGGTAGGACTGTTACCGTAATTGACTGCTACCATTAAGAGTGGTAGTAGTAGTTTTAATGGGAGATTTTGAAGGGAAGTTCTCCTGGGACTTACAGGATAGCTTTGCCAATATGCAGTGAATATGAACCTTTTATGAAAGAAATGGATTCTGAATCAACAGAACAGTGCATCGGTGTGCTGTCTTAACACAGATTGCCCCTGCTTGTTCTTAAGTTTCTGCTCATCTAACATAACCCTTTTAAATAGGAAATAGGGGAAAAGGATGTTGAGGAGCACAAACACTGGCTAATTAGGCCAACAAAATACATTTTACTCATTTGAGCCTATGCTCAAATCCAAGTCTTTCAGCTTCTAGCAGGGAGCTTTTCCTCAGGGAAAGCTGTTCTCATCCAGAGAATCATCCTTTGTGATACCTGCTTATGTGGGAGTGCTGTCTTGTGGAAGGGAGGGGGCAGGACTCTCTCTCTAGCCCTGAACTAAAATGGCTGTCCTCAGGGGTAGGCATTACAGCTGCTACTGTCTGACAGTGACTTAACAGACACTTCCTGTGTTTTTTTGCTCAGCTTTAAAATACCCCACTCCAGCAAGTAGCATCATTTTCCAGTCGGCTGGTATGGCAAATGGGACAATAGAGGAAAACAAAGTGATAGAGGTAGCATCAGAGTGGGAAAATTTAGAAACAAGCAAGGAGGAGGACGAAGAAGAGGAGGAGGAGGATTTCACAGAAAGTGATGATGATCAAGACGATGTAGAAGACGAAAAGGATGTCACAGAGGTAAGTCAGGTTTTCATTAGGCTTCTACCTGTTTAAATCCTGACACCCAAGTACTCAGTCAATATCTTGCTGTAAACTGAGAATGTGTAGGCACTGTGGAGCCACCAGGAGTAATCAAAAATGTCTTTGGGAGATAAGGGTTGGGCTTTTTGCTTCATTAAGGAGACAACATTGTTCTAAGGCAGTGTGTTCCTGACCAACTATACAAGGGGACATCCACACTATCATCAGTCTTGTTAGGTTTCATTTGCATGGGAAACTTCATTAAGTGAAGTCTGAATAAACTTGTCTGACCTCTTCTGACTTGTAGGAAAGCAAAGTTCAGGTCACCAGGAAAGCAAAGCTTGGAGAAAGACGAACAAGTCCTACAAATTCAGAAAAGCAGATAGCAGGTCTGTATTAAAAACCCTGGCTTGAAGGTTAAGTCTCTAGTACTCTAGCACTTGCATTGGTTTCACCAACACGTGATTTTTCTTTTCTCAGAAAGTGAACATTCCAACTTGCTATCATTCAGCTTGGATAAGACAGCAGATGAAGATGATGCCTATGATTTTAACACAGATTATGTGTAATGAATTATGTATGAAGGCAAGGTTTGGACACTCTTACTGCTGGCTTTCAGAACAGTCACAAAGACTTGTGTTGCAGCAGAAGTTGGAGGAATGCTACATACCAGAGCTGCTGTAAAGTTCATGATTATTACTCTGTCAAATAATGTATATAATACTATATCTCCCTTGATTGATCCAGACTTCATACAGCTCTAGGAAACTGACTGTATTTAGCTTTCAAGTCCTAAACTTTATTTCCTGTATTAAAAAAAAACCCTATTTTAAAAAATTCCTAATAGACTGAGTTAGTCTCTTCACTTTGGCTTATAAAAAGATGTTTCAAAAGGATAAACTCCATCTTTTTCTTTGAAAAACAATGGTAAATGTTTTATACTAGTCACATTCAAGCAATTAAATATCAAGGTAAGTTTTTGTCCTCCCTTCATAAAATGTAATTGTTTTTCCTAGAGTATTACAGAGACTGTACCCCTAGAGAGTGACCTGTAGAATTCTCATGTAAAGGTTCTCTAGAAAAATGCTACATATTTCAGCGAGACATAAGGTAATTTTATCTGAGCACTGCTTTATATGTTCAGAAGTTTCACTGAGATTGTGGTATTAGTTATCTGTCTTCACTGGGGAACAAGATTCTCGTTCTTAGGTGCTCTTGAACAAAAGATGTATTTTGTGATGATGCCCACTGTATGTGGCAACAACTGGTAACTGTAAAGCAAGACATTGCCCTGTGCAATGAGGACATGTTACTGGGCTCAGCCTACAGCAGAACTGCGGTAGCAAGAGAATTACCAAGAGGGCCTGCAGCTGCTCAGCAAACTAAGCATTTAGAATAAATACCAGGCACCAAGCATCTTTCTCCTAGGTGCCTGTTTTCTTCCTCTTAAAGGTCTGATTTCTGTGTTCTTTTCTTTAATAGATAGTTGTATTTTACCTAAACATATGTTAAGGCACAGTCCTCCTAGGCAGCTTTAAAAAAGTATCAAGTGCAGACACAGACACATGCAGTTTATTTAAGCCTGCTAAAACAGTCTGGTCATCAGCATTAAGTTGGTGTCAACTGATGTAATACAGTCTTTCAAAGTTTGGTAACTGAACTTATTTTGTTATTGCTAGCCACTTCAAGGACAAGAACAGTTCTTGTTCATCAAAACCCAGGAAAAGAAACAATAGGTAACAAACCACAGATCAGCATCCACGCCAGAAACAGAACTATCAGCAGTGACTGCAAGCAGCTGGAAATCCTTTTAAATTATAAAGCAGTACTAAAACCATATTCCTACACATGAATGAGCCCTTTAGCTCTCTGCTGCCCTGTATCTCAGACCACGCAACACTGAACCTGTCTCTGCATTAACACAAAACCTTCTGTCTAAACATCTGACACTGGGGACTGTTCACAAGCAGTATTACTGAATAAAAACAAGAACTTGAGTTCAACCCTGTATTAAATGGAATAGCTGGCACAACAGCTACTGGGATATATTGGCTAATAATAACCACTACTCAAACTTAACAGTACAACTATAAAAAAACCCAAAAAACTTGCCTATAGAAAAAGCGAAGGGCAGCTGGCTGCAAAAGGGCACAAAAATCTTGCTTGATGAGTTTAAAGGGGCCAGGCTGAGAAAAGCACAGTGGGAAAAACTTCTATAGCAGATACATGCTCACATGAGAGAACTATGATGAACTTAACAATCACAAAAATGAATCTGCAGTTCATACAGGCTGGTCCCTGTAATAAACATTTTGCATAATTTTAGAATGAGATTGCTTTTGTGAAGACGAGATAATTGACTTCAGTTTCAATCACTTGCTACTGTATTTAAGTACAAAGGAAACACACTTCATATATCAGATCAAGACTAGAATCATATTGTCATTTACCTGAGGTTTGAGTCAACATGTTAAAATTAGCTTTTATTTTTGAACAGTTTTCTCCACCACTTTACAAAAAATGTTTTAGTGTTCACTGGCAGTTAAAACCACTTTGCATAGTGAAATACTTGAGAAATTCATCTTTAAAAAAAAAAAAAACAAAAACAAACCCAAGATTAAATTTTGCAGAATTCTGCAAGAAAAACTTACACAAAAGTGGCTGGGAGGAGATTTCATGCAAGAAAGGGTTGTTGATTAAACTATTTCACAGGATAAGAAAACAAAACAAAAAAACCTAACAAAACCCAAGCAGCTTTTAATTACAGTACGTTGCTGTGCAAGACTTGCATGGTGCAAGCACCAGCTGAAGTTGTATCTTGTTCTTAGAAACTGTTTCTGTAGCTGACAAAATGATCCTCCTCTAGAAGACTTGTAGTAAAGAGCAGAATGCACAACAGACAGAAATGAACGAACAGAAGTGCTAGTTTATGGAGATCCTCCCTTGCTTTGTAGAGTGCTGCTGGAGTAGCATCTTCTGTTACACCAGTGAAATGAATCTCCTCTGGACCTGTGCCTTTCACAACTGCACCTGAATAAGTGCATCACCTTGTGCTCCAGAAGGCAAGGACTGCTCTGTAATACAAGTTGGCTAAAAAAGGTTCTGCTTGGCTCCAGAAGTTTCCTGAGAAAATGCCATCAGTTAAAATTGACTCTACTTTGCTTCATAGGCTTCTGAATGTCTGCGGATCAGGCTGAACTTGCCTGTAGGGTCAGGAACATACCACTTCTCCCAGACTTCAGCGTATGAAGCTGTTCTTCCCCATGGTTTGAAATGTCCATTCCAATGGAGCAGCTTGGCAGCTTTCACAAACTGAGGAGAGTACCTTTTTCCAGCACTAGACCCTTTTATTGAAAAAGAAGCATTAGTGTCTCAAATAAAGGCAGCAGAAACACACCAACATGCAATATTTTAACTTTAAAACCAAGGATTGTAACAGAGGAAATCTTGTTATTTATGGAGAAAGGAGGCAGAGATCAGGACAAAGTGAAAAACATAATCAGGTGCAATTGAATGCCACTTTGATCTGTCTCATTTATTTTAATGTACTGCCTTAACTTTCAAGTTCTTTAAAACCCCCTTAATATCCAGATGTATTCAGCAGCCTATGTATTGTTCATTGGAAACAAAACCTAAGAAAGCTCTCCCAGCATTGGGGTTTCACCAGTAGCAGAACAGACATGAATATCTGTTCTCAACAATCTTGAAGGGAACACCGAGGATCACTTCAGATACAACATATATGTGGAAAAAGAAAAGGAAAATGAGAAGTAATTTGAGAGTAAGTCAATTCAAGAACTATTCCCCTAGCAGTTCAAAAAAGAGCATGAAGGGTCAGGCCCACAAACCCCAAGATGGTATTGCAAAGCAGTGTTTCTTAAAGAACAAGGTATAAAATAGGGGAAGAAAAGATTCATTTGCTGCATCATCAACTAGGTGTCCAGCTATAGACCTGGAAAAACACACTGGGGGGGCAGTGTCACAAATGGTTCATACATACCGAGATGCCGGACATTCCACATGGGATCAATACTGGAATGTTGCTTGTAAAATACAATTAGCAGTGGAGGTGTCGTGATGCTGCCAGACAGAGTCCTACTGTAAAGTTCCTCTCTGGAAGAAAAGATGAAAAGAAGTTTGGAAAGGATACTTGTGTGGCCCTAAATTGGTTGATTTTCACTTGCAGCTGCAGGACAGGAATCCACAGATACATACGCAGCCCTTCATTTAACAGTTAAATGCCATCACCAATCCCTGACCTGCTGTTGCCCCCAGCATGGGGATACTTACACTACATTAAGCGCCATCCACTTCTCCAACTGCTTAGTGATGTTCTGTAATTTCCATTCTGTCAAATTGGCAACAAAAACTCCTGGATTGAAAGAGCAGGTGTTGGCTTTCATGGCAAGCTTTCGGATAGTTTCTTTTTTGTAATCTAGAAACCCAATGTAATTATACTGGGGGGGAAGGGGGTAAAAGAGAGCAGAAATCAGCTTAAAATATGGTCAAATTACTATTTAAAGAAAAATTTTGCACAACTCCCAACAGACAAGCCTAACTTGAAGTTGTTAAAGCAAACACCCTTTTTTAACACAAGAGAAAGAAAGCTTAAAAGGTCTCATTTTTTAAAAATATGATTATATAAACTACATATTTTAAGGAATGCTGCATGTTCTTACTAATACCCTATTATTCATATGGTACCACTTCCAGAAAAAGTACTTTTTATATCTCCTTCTGATGTTCTAAGACCTCCTGTGGTTCCACACTGGGAACTGCTCTCATTGTAAAGCCCAGCAAAAATTCAAAGTCCTTATACTGTGCCTAAACAGAAACTGCAGGTGTCACTTGTAACAGAAACATCAGAGTAAATTGATTTGGGTAGGGACAGTCACACCTTTAGGTTCACTGCATTTGGAATTCAACCTGCAAGAACATTAAAACTGAGTGCCTATTTCCAAAGGTATTGTTACCACTGAATCAGAATAAAACTAACCTGGTTGCCTGCTCCACGGACAGCAACCTTATTGGTGGTTGAGTCACAGTCATCTGAAAATGCAGCTGCATGCCCAGGTTTCAATGGAGTGTTGTAAAGTTCAAGAATATCATCTGAGAAATGGAAGCAAGGACAGAAAAATGAAATGCAATCCTGATTAAGCGCCGAGTGACTTTTTGTTCAGTCCGTTGCTACAGCCGATAAAACCACTCAGTTTAATCCAACTCACTCATATTTACAAAGTTTTTACATTTTTCCTTTAAGTAGAAGCTTTTGGTTACTGTAGGAGATGGCATACTGACCTCAGCATAAGGCCAGTGGCAATAGGCTGAGAAAAGGTCCCATACCTTGCACTATTATATCATCATCCACATAGATGGCCTTCTCTGCATGAGGTACCAAATTGGGCAAGTAGAATCTTGCAAAGGTTAACTGTGAAAACAAGAAAGCAAGAGAAGTGAAGAATTAAATGAAAAATTGTCCAAATAAATGTGAAATCGACTGATACTCCTCGCACTTATCTATGGTACTAATATCCAAGACAGCCTCTATCAAGGAAGTAAAATAGGCAGCAATATTCTAAAGGTTATTTAAAATAAACATGTTCCATCAATTCCTCGATTTCCTATGAATTTGTGCATTGATAAACTAACTTAAAAACTGGTCTATATTAGAATTTCTCCACACATACCTGTATTATCTCTGACATATTGGCACGCTTGACATGCAAGCTGCTGTCTTTCACTGTTGCTAGCAGCAAAAAATTGTACTAGGCATGTATATGTCGATATTCAAATCCATCTCGCTATCTAGAGATTTATTCTTACTGAAATTTAGGAATTTGATTATAAAAGATTGCTTCTATGCTAACAGATTTGGGTTTGATCTCTAGTTGAATTCAAAAGCCAATATCAAAATATATTGTTACTAACTAATAATTGCAAAAAGTAATCAACATCGTCCTCACTGGTTTTAAGGTGTCTGCCTTTTGAGGATCCACTTGTACTTTCCCTTCTAAGACACGAGGGTCAAAATTCAAAATTCGGTATCTCAAATTTTTCAGAGCAGTGTTACTTAGCCACAGCCTGCAAACAGGAGAAAGGCACAGATTTTGTTAAAGGAGACAAAAATCAAACAAAAAGCAAGAGATCCAATTGACAGTGACACAGATCTTGATCTGACCACTTGCTTCCCTATCCAATAAACATATATACAGAATGTAATCCACGGCTGATGTCAGTGGCGTCCTGTATGAGTGCAGGGGCATGCCCACTGTCAGCATACTGCACAGCTGTGACACACGAAAAGCACGAGAATGCTTCTTATTTTATTAGAAATATATGGTCCTGTTATCACAGCTCCTTCACAGAAAATATTGTGAACAGATGTGGTTAAATGTAAAAGGATCAAAGAACAATCTAGAAAAACAGAGAAGCTTCATTGCCGGCATTTGAATTGCTTAAATGAAATGTAGGAATTAACTTTTATAACACCCCCATCAACAAACTCCAACCCCGCTGGCTGGATATAACCCCACAGGAAGATGGCTCTTTTCCATCCCTGAAACATTACCAGGAGGAATGACTGTAGGACTCCCCACCGCAGCCTTGTCAAAAAGCTGCAATAAGCAGCAGCAGATAGGACTGCAAATAACTTAGAGGAGTGCAGTTCCAGGCAAAGTCAGGTCTTCTCAGAGATAGTTAAGCTTTACAGTATTGTGGGAAGCTAGTGAAAAGATCATTACCTCAAGTGATCCACCGTATCATTCAAAGTAACAATATGGAACACCACGTTGGATCTGGTGTGACGGTAAATACTGTTCATGGCTGCAATTGCACCCCCGAGTCTCTCATCTGATGCTGCAATGACCACAGAAATCTCCTTATCATTTCTTTCATCTGCCAGCCTCTGGGGAACTGCAGGTATAAAATCTATAGGCTGAAGTCCTAATGGATTTGAATCTGTGGAGTACAAATGGCATCACATACTTGTTTTAAGCAAGTGAAACACACACATTATTACCACGCTAAAATTCCCAACACCTTCAACTATTTTTACTATGCAAGCAGTTGGATGTCTCAGCTGAAGTGTGGATTACAGCGTGCCAGTACCAAATACTTAAAACATACCACCGGCTTTTGAGAATCCAAGATGTTAATGAATAGGAAAACATGACGCTTACAAATAAACTGCATACATTTAACTGCACATATGCACACAGAGCACAACAAGGTACTAAAATGAGGCTTAAACTACAGTAGGCCACCCTTACCTTTGGTCCCCTCTGCCACATCTATAATCTCACTGACTTCCCCCTCCCATTTACCCTAATCACCTTCTAAGTCTTTTCCACATCACCCTCCCCTCTTTTTCCTATACTTCCTTTTCCTCTTAAGTAGGAACCACTGAAGAAAACAGAAGTCCTAAATTAAAGTCCCTGTTGCGAATTTTTTCCTGCCAAAGATCAAGGCATTGACTACAGCCCATGTTTATTCCAGGAATCACAGATCACATGACATTATCTAAACTGAAACAACAAGAATTTATACTAACGAATAGGAAAATGGGAGATCAGTGTTGAAATTTATTACTAGACCACATCACCTGTAAAAGCTGGCAAATTGCCCACTACCTGCACTTTTTATAACACCACTGGTACTTTTCAGATGATCCAGACTGTTACATATTAGATGATTTTAGGCAATTTGAGGAACATAGCAAACAGGGACTTGGCAGTTTGTGGGCATTACTCTGCGGTTCACAAAGCTGAGCTTCTGCTTGCCTTTTTCTGATGACAGAGCTCAACAGCTTTGACTTCAACCAATTCCTGGTTAAGGCCTGTCAGGCTTCAACTGCTGTTGGTAAGCACCTGTACAACTGCTACCCAGGAGCAACAGCTCCCAGGGGCAGTAAACTGGAACTTGGCAATTAATGGGGACATGCAGAGGCCCTGTGGGACCATGTGCAGTTCTTAAAAGCAGACTCCCAAAAATTAAAAGGCTTTGCTAAGTAAACCACATAGTATCTTAATGACTTAAAGCCAGGAGGAACCCTTACTGCTATCTTGCCTGGCTTCCTGACCATGAAAAGAACAGACAAGCCCACCAAGCCAAAGGTTCTTGGGTATGAGAACAGGAAAAGATCTACTCATAATAGAGTACAAAAATTGTATCTTGCATGCAAATGATTGATCACTATCATACACATTATTTCAGCAACATGGTGGTTGCTGTCTGGCTAGAGCATGTGCTTTCCCCCCAGTCTTGGAAAAAAAAAACAACACCAAAACCCAACATACCTGACAATTCCCGTTTCAAGAAGTCACTGAGGCCTAGGAAGTTATGATGAAGAACTAGCAAAAATATGACAACAGCCACTATAAGGATGGAAATGTTCACTGAAAATTTGAAAGAAAAAACATTTATCAATATAACCAGAGAAAGATTGGGAAACTCAGAAAAGTACAAGAGACACTTTTAAAAAATTAGACACACACATATACACATACCTTTCCTTAATGTCATTTTTCTCCTGTTATTTTATTCCTTAGCATAAGCTTCCTGCAAATCTGCAAGAGAAAAAATACAGCAGTCACTTCCTACTTCCAGTGCATGCCTACACAAGGCATAGCACGCTATCACCAGGAGTGTCAAAACAGTTTCTGAATGCCGTGAATGTTTCCTTCTCTTAAAAAGGATAAAACTGCATGTCACATTTTAACAACCGAGTATGCCGTCTCAGTAAATATGTAGCTACAATGATGTACCTAAAGAACTCAGAGATGAAGAGGGAGAGACAGAGATCTTGCCACTTACTTCACTGACAGAAAAAAGAAAACAAACCAAAACTCCTTCTGCCAGTTAAAAGTGATCTGGAAAGAAGCTGGGAGGTCATGTATGGGGTTTTTTTTTGTGGTGGGTTTTTTTTTTTGTTTTGGTTTTTTTGTACTGTTGAACCCATTAATTTAACTATCTGAACTGGAAGCATCCCAGCAATAGGGCAAATGATTATACATTTCTTTCCATACTTAAGTAACTGCAAGACTTTGGTAGGACACGATGTTTAACAAACAGCATTATACACTTCCAAACCCATGGAATTCTCCACATAAAATATAACAGAATATCAACTGAAGTGTCACCACGTAAAAAAAAACAAACACAAAAGTGCAAAAGAAGGTATTACCATCATGTTGCAGAAGGGGACAACATCACGCACTCCAAGCAATGATGCAATTTTGGTACACGATTCACACACACACGTTCATTATTTAACGGTGCTCATGACTGTGCAATCAAAACAAGAACTATGCACCCTGGAGTGTGAGGTAGCTCTCAAGTCACACACAGAAAGCACTCACACTGTAATAACACACAAGATCCAAGGAACAGAGACAGCTCTATGTTAAAACGCTTGCAAAATTTCCAAATGAAGATACCGCAAACTGTGTTGCGACGATTACGTGTGCCAGACGTAACCATCTGCTTTCTGCTGTTGCATTTCTCCCGTGGGGAAGATAGGTTCACCCAGCACAACAAATAAATGCCCCGTGCCGTGCCTACGGCACTACTGAGGCATGTCAGGACGCGCAGCCTTGGCTTACAGGAGCTCAAGGCAACGTCCCCCTCGCAAACGCCGCCTGTTCCAGCGCTCCTCGGCCCCGTGCAGCGGCGCGGGGTGCAGGCACGCAGCCACAGCCGCCCCGCAGCGGCGCCACAGCAGCCCGCGCTAACAGCGCTT